TGGGATCCCGGACGCGGCGGGATCGGTGGTCTTTCCGGCCTCTGGCGCCCCCTGCCGTGTGCAGGAGGAATCGCAGGCTTCGGAGAGGCCTGGGGCCCAGCACGTTCCCTCTCCCCCTCCCTGCCCCTCACTTCTCGCTCAGTAAATGTTCAGCTAACGCCTAGGGGTACCTTCTGCTCGGGAGGTGAGACGGGCCAGCTGGGAATCAGAGACCAAGACCCCGGAGTTCTCACGGCCCCCACCTGTGTGGAAGGGCTGTTTGAACTAGATCTGTCTGATTCAAGGTCCTAACTTTTTGAGGGTGGGGGGCTGAGGAGAGAGACCTTCAGTGAGGGATCAGGACAGCGTGAGGGCAGGGGGTGCCTGGGCGAGGTGAAGTGGGAAGGGAGTTTGGGGGCTGAGGTTAAGAGCCAGGGGACAAAGAACCCGACAGGTTCCTCCCGACAGCTGATCTGCTTGGGGGTGGCTGGTCCCTCGTTCGCCATTATCTCTATTTCTGCCTCTGGAGAGAATTAGGATTTGCTTCTCCTAGTTTTTCCTTAGTAAATGGTGGGATTAGTAAAATGTAGTCTTTGGATGCATTCAGATTGCTTTTTTATGCTTCTCTAGGTGCCGGTTGGCCGCAGTCACTTTCCTTCCCTTTTTGTCCTGTATCCCTAGAAAGGCTCTGCTTTCGGTCATGCGCACGTAGCAGGCGGGCCTTCCTTGGTATTCTAGGCCAGCTCTGTAATTGTGAAATAAAGCCTTAGCCTCCTGTTCAAGGCACTCCTGGGAACAGCGGTGAATGGCATGGACGGGTGGAGGGGTTGATCCTGTACCTCTGGAGAACTCAAGAGATAAAGCTTGGCTCAGCGAGCCTGTCCTAGATGGGGGTCCTCTGGGATGTGGTGTCATCCCTCTCTTGTCCCCGGTCCCTGCTTGCTGGGCCTGCAGGGTGGGCAGGAGGGCTGCTGGTTTGAGTGTTGCTCAGGCAGCAGCCTCTGCCACCCACACTGCTTCAGTCCAGGGGTCTGGGCCAGGATATATGAAGCCCCACCTTGAATTCTGAGCCTCTTGGGTTTAGGGACTGTCCTCCTGGGAGTGTCAATAAGGTAGTGTCTCTAATTTCCCCCATGCTCGCCCCCCACCTGGCTGGCCCTCGTTATGGCAGCAGGAGATGTTGGGCACACCCAACAACAGCCTGCTTGTTTCCAAGAGGAAAAACTGCAGCTGCTGGGCTGGGGAAGAGGTGTGTCCTGGATAGCCTCGCCCAGCAACTTCCGAGAGGGGATGAGATTGGAATTCACTCCGGTGCTTGGTGACTGTGCACCTGGATTATGGACCAGGCAGCACTGTTTATTGCACAAGCAAGCCATCCAAGGGGCAAGAAAAGAAAGAACTGGAGGGGACAAGCCTGCCACCCAGGGATTCCAACAATAACCCTCTCCACTGTGTGTCCTCTTCTTCTCACCCTGAAGGACACTACCTGAAGTCTCAAGCTTACGTCATGCTTCTTCTTGCCTTCGAGCCTTAGCACATGCTGATCCCTCTACCCGGAGTACCCTCATCTCTCTTTTTCTGACCACTACCACCACCTCCACCACTGAGCTCGTTTACTGTCACTTTTTCTTCAGGTCACAGCTGATGCTGTGACTGGGTCAGTGTTCTGGCCGTTCCTGCCCCAGCAGCTTTGCCTCCTGCCTGCTCCTTGTCCCATCTTGTCTTTTGCTACCACTGGATTCCTTGACTCACGATGTCATTCCAGTGCCCAGCACTGTCAGGCACACAATAGGCACCAATAAGGTTTGTAGAATGAACCACTCTACACAGTGGTATGTTAACAATGCTGCGTGAAAGGCACAGGCTTACGTTCTCCAGGAATCTGGGGAGATCGGGTTAGGATTGTGAGTGGGGCCTGCTGGTTTTCATCACCTCCTTTCTGTGGCTTTCTTTTCCTTATCTCTGCCCCCTCCCATCTTTTCAGCCCCCATGATCTATCCCATGCCATCACTTGCGGCAATTGCATTTTGTCAGCAAAGCATGGGAAGAGGGTAACGCTTAACCCAAAGAGAACATTCCTAAGAAGTTAGAGCTGAAGGGCCTTAGAGATCATTTAACCCAGGGGTGGGTAAACTGTTCAAATCCAGCTCACAACCTTTTATTCTTAGTCTTTTATTTATCTTATTATTATTATTTTTGTGTGTGTAGCTGGCTGGTACAAGGATCGGACCCTGGACCTTGGTCTTATCAGCATCACATTCTAACTATCTGAGCCCGCCGCCTGCCCCTGCCCACAGCTTTTTACATTTTTAAAGTGTTCTAAAAAAAAAAAAAAAGAAAGAAAAAGAAAAAGAAGCAGCAGCAGAGACCATATGTGGTCTACCAAGCCTAAAATACTGCCATCTGGCTGTATACAGAAAAGGTTTGTTGTTCCCGCATTTTATGGATGGGAACACGGAGGTCAAGAGGGATTAGGGATTTACCTAAAATGGACAGATGCATCCATGGCAGAGGAAGCTGATATGGGTTGGTGGAGCTGCACTGGGTCTGGAGTCAGAAGACCTGGTTCTAGGCCCAGATCTGCTGGGACCCATGAGCAGGTGTTCTCTCAGGGTCTCAGTATCCCCAACTTTATAATGGCCATGTTTGAGTATCTTTAAAATCCCATGACACTAAACTAGAGAACATGAGAAATCACACCTTAAGCTGCTGCTGGCCTGTGATGCTTCCCACTGTATGCATTGCTGCTCTGTGATGGTGACAGGCCACTAAGGAGATATTTTGGGGCGAATTGATTTTACAGTGTTACATCTCACCATGGAACTATGAATTTCTCTGCCTGTGAACAAACAAGGCAGTGTGTGGGGGGTGGACTGTTCAGGGGCTGTCACCAAGCCCCACTTGATTGATGCCTTCTCTTTGGTCCCTTCTCTACACAGTGCCACCCTCCAAGCCAGACTGCAGCATCGAGGGAGAAACTGTGATTGGGAACGACATCCAGCTGACCTGCCAATCAAAGGAGGGCTCCCCAGCCCCTCAGTACAGTTGGAAGAGCTACAACACGCTGAACCAGGAGCGGCCACTGACCCAACCAGGTACTGGGGTCAGCAGGGAAAGCGGGCCCCCACATCAACGTGCAGCTGATTGGCTAGGGCTGCCAGGGGAGACTGGAGCTGACCACTCAGATCCCCGTGAAGGCTGCCCCAGTTCCCGACCTTGCAGTTGCCTCTGATATCTTGGGCCATCTCTCTAAGAACCGGTCTCTCATAATGATACCTACCTCACAGGTCATTGTGAGAAATAAAAATGATTCACGTAAAGCACGTAGCAGAAACACGGAAGTGTTGGGCCGGCCCGGTGGCGCATTGCTACAGTGCGCCGCTTGGGAGCGCGGCGGCCCTCCCGCGGAGGGTTCGGATCCCACATACAGACCGGTTCCCGCTCACTGGATGAGCGAGGTGCGGCGTAACACCGAGGGTTGTGATCCTGTTGCTGGTCCCGGTCCGGTACGGGCGCAACACTGAGGGTTGCGATCCGTTGCTGGACACGAAAAAAGACAAAAAAAAAAGAAACGCGGAAGTGTTGCCTTGTCTTCTTTACTCCCCACACCTCAATTCTCTTGAATAAGCGTGTACTGATAACCACTCTGTGCAAAAGCACTGAGTGGGATTTTAATTTTCATTATGATTATGTCCTAAAGTA